TGTATTGTTTAAAGTTATTGTTTCCCTTCCATCAGCCCAACAAGTCTATGATTTGAGTACCATGTTGATTCATGTCCAAAAGAGGAAAACATCATGACTTCACTTTGGGATTTACTCAATGTGACGTATTGATCATCTAATACGTCAAGTATCAATCAGAAACATAGACCAAGCACTCAACAAACAAATCAACAATCTGGGAGATGTAGGTCTAATAATTGTCTCTCCTGACGTAAAAGTAGGAATAAAATCAAAGAGCAAGAAAGTCATCGAAGGACATATACCATTTGTACCTAGAAAAAGAGGGAATAGAATAATTCGAATAAGAAAGAAAAATGTATAATGTGACATGTTACATAGTCACTCTCCAGTAAGACTTACACACTGTGTGTCATGCAAACTGTCACCTGTTGGGATTTGAAAGGAAGGTAGGGATTAGATATACATGACTCTCTTGTAAATGTTAGAGGGTATGTAACTGGAAATGATGAAAGGCGGGAAGCAACCTGAAGCTGAGACCGTTCCAGCCACCACATTTCTATTCCTGTTTTGTTAAATCTGTGCTAGCTCAGGATTGAGTGTAAAGAACAGAGGCTAAGGTGAGTCGGATCTCCATTTCCCACATCTGTTAAAAAAAAAAAAACCTTTTTTCATTAATTGGCTTATTTTTTATTTCTTACATTTGTTTTTATCCCAAGATTCAAATTAGGAGGAGGGCTGTGGGTTAAAAGTTGAAGAAATAAAAAGGAGATAATAACTCATATATTTAGAGATACTTTCCATTTGTAGAGCATTTCTGCATAGAGTTTAATGTTTAATTTCTACAATAAGGCTATGAAACAGGTTAGTAATACTATTGTACAGATAAAGAGATTTGACTCTAAGAGAAAATACAAGACAAAACCACTACCACAGAATCATAGAGGTAATAACAGAATCGGAATAAGTCTTCTGAATCCCCATCTCGTACCATAGCATTAAGGGAGCTGACACAATGAAGACTAAAAGGCTAAGAAGTCTAGCATCTCAGTGCAGTAGGAAGTGGCTGGAGTTGCCCCTCTAGTCAAAGACCCAGATACAAACATGTGGTAGTAGCTGGGTGAGGAAGGGGTCAGCTTTGTAGAAAAAGTAGTTGGATGGAGAGAGGAAGGGTACAACAGTGAACAAAATGTTTTTCTTCTTTTTGTAATATTTTTCCTTGTGTTTTCCTTACCAATACACATAATCTGTTCTATTCATAATATCAAGCAAGAGATGCTAAGCCTGGGTGCCTGTAGTTCTAGCTATTCAGGAGGCTCAGATCTGAGCATTGTGGTTCAAAGCTAGTCTGGAAAAGAAAGTCTGTGAGACTCTTATCTCCAATTAACCAACACAAAACCAAATGTGGATCTGTGGTTCAAGTGGTAGAGTGCAGGATCTTGAGTACAAAAGCTCAGGGTCTGTGTCCAGGGCCTGAGTTCAAACCCTGGGACCAGCACACCCACACAAACAGATGTTACCATGAAAAAGGGCTTTAGATTTTCAAAGCCCAGATTCTGATAGTATGCAAGTCACAGAGAGAGAGAGAGAGAGAGAGAGAGAGAGAGAGAGAGAGAGAGAGAGAGAGAGAGAGAGAGAGAACATGCATAAAAAGAAAGAAAAAAGCCATGCCACCCTGAGGCTAGATAAAGATACTAAGAAAGAAAAGCCAAATGATAGAATCCACAGAGATTTTTAAGGGATCCGAGAAGTGTGGGATCCTGTGGGCCTTCCAGGGATAATTATCCAGCATATAGAAAGACCATGGAACATTTGGGTAAATGCCCAAAAGTGGGACTGCTGGGTCATAGGGGAGCTCTATGTGGAGTCTTTTGAGGAACTTCCATACTACTTTCCAAAGTGGTTGAACAAGTTTGCACTCCCACCAACCATGCAGTAAGGTTCCCTTCTGTCCACATCCTCTCCAGCAACTGTTGTTATTAGAATTCTTGATTCTAGCCATTCTAACTGGGGTGAGGTGGCATCTCAATGTTGTTTTGATTTGCATTTCTTTTATCACTAGAGAGGTTGAGCATTTCTTCATGTGTCTATTGGCCATCCTTCTTTCCTCTTCAGAGAAGTTTCTCTTTAAGTCTTTAGCCCACTTATTTATTGGGCAGTTGTTTCTTTGAAGATTTGTTGTAGGGGGATTTAATTTTTTGAGTTCACACTAAAGTTCACACGACTATGTTTATTACAGCCTTATTTACCATAGCTAAGATATGTAACCAACCTAGATGCCCCTCAGTAGATGAATGGATCAAGAAAATGTGGTATATATACACAATGGAATTCTATGCCTCCATCAGAAAGTATAGCATTGCCCCATTTGTTAGGAAATGGAAAGACTTGGAAAAAATTATATTAAGTGAAGTAAGCCAGGCCCAAAGAAACATAGGTCCCATGGTTTCTCTTATTTGCAATAACTAGTATATGTCTGAGTCAAGCAGAAAAGGTCAGTTAAGGTGATGTTAGGGAAATGAACCCTAAGATATGTATTCATATGTTTTTTTTCTTTCATTCAATTGTTTCTAACACATTTATAAGATGATTTCTTTGTTGCTTTGTATGTCCCTCCCCCATGGTATAACCCCTGATTTCACTGTATTTGGTGTTGTTATAATTTGTGGAGGGGAGGGGAAAAAACAAATCATTTAAATAGGATACAGGTGGACCCATTGCAACAATGAGATGTACAAGTCATTATGTTGAAAACGAACTTGCTGCTTCTCTGATTTCTATCCTCAGAACCACAAAAAAAGAAGAAAAATAAAGAAGAAAGAAATGGAGGGAGGGAGGAAGAAAGGAAAGAGAAGAGGGAGGAAGGAAGAAAGGAAGGAGAAGAGAGAGGGAGAGAGGGAAGGAAAGAAGATAGAATAAAAGGAGAATGGGATGGAGGGAGGGAAGTAAAATTTCTTAGAGAAAGAAAAAAATAATAAATTGAAACCAATAAAATCATACACATTGAGTTAATAGAGGACAACTATAAATTATGATACATCGGTGTATATCATATATGTATTATTCATTCAGAAAGCTAAGGTAACTCTTGTAAGCTCCCAAATTATGCTCAGAGCTGATACTAGGAATAAATTAAGTACATTAGGATATGATGTTGCTTTCCAGAGGATACAGTTTAGGAGGAGAGATGGTAGCTGGACCAGTGTTGTGGTAGATGGAGGAAAGAGAGGAGAAGGTACACCCAGAGACGAGCGCCTGCCAACACAGACACAATCTAAGCCAGATTCCATTTTCCTCATGAAAAACATTACTATCAAAGACTTACTCAATTATTCATGAAAAGACCACTTTGAATTTACTTTTATTCACTTGATCAGATACATACAAGCATATTGGTTATGCATTAAAAAGCAAATGAAAAGTATTCGACTAAGCTTCTCAACAAAGTAAAATAGTGAGGGGGTTTTCTTTAAAAAACCTGATTTATTGCTACTTTTCTACCTTAAATCTGCCTGTCATAGTTATTCCCACGTGACAGCCAGGGTCTACTCAAGAAAGGAAATTATATGGTAAACTCTATATTCATTTTGACAATTCTTGCTGTGGTTAGAAATCTTCAATAAGCAACAACACTGGGAGTGGGGGAGGTAAGGGATAATGCAGACAAGAATTCATTGCATAGATGATAAAATTAAGAAAAGTAAGGGATGGGGTGGGTCATGAGGGGTGAGAATGTTAAGGGGTGACACTGATCCAAATCTACTGAGTTCATCACCTGCTTTGTTAAATGGAACTTCCCTTGTACAACTACTTAAAGATGATATTTAAAAAAAAAAAAAACAGCATTGTAAAATGCGGAATAATTCCAGAGATAGCATATACAAAAAGGAGACCATGCTTCCTAATAATGAACTGTGCATTTGAAATTTGCTAATAGAGTAAATCTTCAGAGTTTTCACCACAGAAAACAACTACATGAAGGAATACATATATCAATTAGTTGGACTGTAGTATTCTATTCATTATATCTGAACATTCCTCATACCTTTAATATATAATTTTATTTGGAAAATTTTAAGCAAATAATTCATTTCAAAATTAGTAAAGTCAAGCTTCATGCAAAAGGTTTTGAAGACAATGAAAATCTGTACAACTTCTAAATTGTTAACATGTACAAGATATAGTACACACAAATTAAACTTACAAAACTATGTTTCCTTGATAAGTGGTCATCCATAGTAAGTGTCACATTACTTTTCATCTTCCTATTAATAATGATAGTTGTAAGACACTTTCATTTTTCTTTAATGTTTTTAGGTATCAATGTAATCACAATAATAATTGGAACTTCTAAATATATCATTGGATAATAAAATCATTATAGCAATGCACATATTAGACATTCTTTTCAATTTAGAATAGAAGGTGATATATGTTAAAGTAAAATACATGTTGCTTTCTTGTCTCATTCATACATGGCTTAAAACAATATAATGCAAAATTATGTCAGTGTAGATTTCAGTTTCCTGGGTATTATAACGCCACTAAAATTAGCTTCAATTTCTAGCATAAAGGAGGAAAATTTACACCAACAAAAACTCCAAAATGTCAATGACATAACATGTCAAGGTTGATTTTTTATTTATTGTGCACACCCAATGTGTTTCAACAGCAGGATTTGCTCTATACAGTCACTTAGACCAACAATGCTATCGCCATAGTAGGTCAGAAATAACTCCTCTTTGGCCCTTGACAAGGAAGGTGGGAAAAAGATAGGGAATAGCTCACTACAACTACCCAACAGCAAAACTAGACACATGGGAAGTGAGCAGTTACATAGAAAACCAAGAGCTGCATATCATCTCTTCCTGGTTTTTTTTGGAACAGAATGAAGTATTTCTGGTTACAATAATGTCTCCAAGTATGTTTTTTATCACATCTTACTGCTAAATATCGTAATAGTTCTCCATTCAAGGTTCTAGCCCCACAAAATCTACAAAAGAATTTTAAGGAAAAAAAGGGTGCTCACTTTGGTAATACATATACCAAAATTGGAGTGATATGGAGAAGATTAGCGTGGCCTTTGTGCAAGGATGACACACAAATTCGTGAAGCATTCCATATTTTTATCTGTGGAAGGGGCAGGGAATCACAGAAACATCAGGATAAAGGATGAATTAATGTAATATTGATACTCACATATCCACTATGTTGAATATGAACCTTACAACTTGGTGGGGGAGGAGAGTAAGGAGGGGTAAGCAGAAGAAAATGGATGAGGTAACAGTGCTTAACAATGAAATGTACTCATTACCTTACTTATGGAACTGTACCCCCTGCTCATCACCTTTTCAATAAAGATTTTTAAAAATAGGTTCCACATCTATCTTTCCTGTTAACTGGTTGGTTATACCAATCTGGTAGGTTACTTCAAGCTCCTAGAATTTGAGTGTTGTAGCTAAAATGAGATTGAGCTGGCTCGTCTCTAAGACTCTTGATACATGTAAGCTTACTAATCTATTTTATATTTCTATCTTAAATCAATGAATAACCTAGTCATATAATGTTTCAGAAGCCATATGCTGCATAAAATTTCAATTGGGAATTTACTGTTTTGTCCTCAATTATAGAATAAATACATGTAGCAATATCTTCAACTGTAATCAACCATCTTAACACTCTTTCCCTCCAACTTTCTTTCACCCTCCCAATTCTAGCTTAGCTGGAGATATTTGCATTCCATTCTGATATCATAATTATGTGTTTACATTGTTTGTATGTCAATTTTAAAAGTTGGACAGTTGACTATGTAAATATTGCTCACTGGAAAGCACAAGGAGTGAAATATAATTACATTTGCCTTCATGTACAGCTATTTCTTTCTTGGAATTTCTCATTGTTTTTCTTTCTAGCCACCAATATTAGTCTCTCTGTCATTTTCTTTGTTTTGCTAATTCTCCATCTAATTGAATATTCTGTCCATTTCTACTTACTCAGAAGCTTCCCTCCCAGGATGGTTGTCCTTTTATTTCTAACTAAGATGGATGTCTCATTGAACATGCTATTTTACTCTAATTCTGACTTCTTTTTATGGCTTTCCTGGGTGGTTTCAACTGTTACCTTCATTGTGTATGGGTTTGTTTGTTTTTTCTTCTTAGTTATATCCTCATTTTATTGGAATACATATGTAGTGATCTTTCTAATAAGGTGAGTTTGGAAATTTTACTTTGCTCTTCAGAATAAGCACATCCACTTTACCTACAGATGGTTGATCTAGTAACAAGCTCAAACAATACAGAATTCTAACTATCTTCCATCCATGTAACTGTCACGTCTACATTCCTGGCCTGAGGACTCTTTGTTCCTGGAATACAGAAACCTATGATGCCCATACTACCTCTTAACATTATTGCATTGGGAATTAAGTTTCCAACACTTGAATGCTGGCATATACATTCAAACTAGAGCAGATGGATTAATACTGACTTCCTCTTTGATTAGCTTCCTCTCTTGTCTGCTTTTCTACCCTTCATTCTCCTATCATTGTTGTCTATTATGTTCCCACATAATCTTACACATAAATGTATGGCTCTTTCTTTTGTCCTCTATAGATATAGATAGATAGATAGATAGATAGATAGATAGATAGATAGATACTACAATCTTAATAAAATGATTACCGAGGTTACAATTGTGTATTATTTGATTACAGGTATGTAAATAGAGACAAGCACATCAACAATGTCCAAAGTATTATGCCCATTTGGTCCTCTTGAAGTCCAAGCCCAGAGTCTGCTTGCTGTGCCATATGGCTTTGTGCCTGGTCTGAAGATGCAGAACACCACCTGTCAACCTTTATCATGCTCAGGAAGAAGGCCCTGAACCCCTATCCCACACGAACATTGAACATCTTTTGTCTTTCACTGTTTCAAGTCCCTTTAATGGAATGCCACAGTGTTCCTATATAAGTATATTTCTTCTGTACCTACTACCTAATTTTCAATGTTAGCCTTAATTTCCTTCAGGCTTTTGCCCTATATAGGCCAGTGCTTATTTTCATGGCTGATTAATGGTTCTGATTAGTCCTTGAAGCAGGAAATCCAATATCCCTTAGGGGAACCCTAAAGAAGCAGATGACCATGAATTCAAGGAAGCCTATTCACCACAGAAATCAATGGAGAAAGGAGGCAATGTTAATGCAGACAACGTTCCACCAGTTTCTAAATGCAAGTGCTCAGACAGGGAGAGCGGAGGGAGGGGAGAGGATAACAGAGACTGTATTGAGAATTCCACACTGCCGTTCCATCACTCTAAAAGCCAGCTTTAACAACTCCCTTCCCAATGTGGAAATTTAAAGCTTCCTTTTTTTGTGAATTTTGACTGGTTTATGGCTCTGAAAGAAAACTTCACCACTCTTGATGATTAGCTCTTGGGGTGAGTTTGTGTCCCAAAGAGGATATGGCTTAATTTCATAAAAGCCACACCACAAGCTCAGCACAGCTATCATTGGAGAAATTTCAAGACCATAAACTTCAATATTAAATAAAGAAAACTATAGAGATGTGGATGTGATACCACTTTTTATAGCATGTGTCTTATCTGAATGCAGATATGAGCTCATAAGTAACGTTTTTTAATAGGTTTTTTATAGAATAGGTTTTAACAATCTACCCTCCCCAAAAAAATATTATATCACTGACTTCTTTTTATTATCCCATGGGTTAGTTCTTAACAGCTAGAGAGATACTAATTGTGCCTCTTCCACTCCTTCTGATTGTCCTGTGAAAACTGATGTGAAGGATGAAGAAGAAACAAAGAAGGGCAGGTTTCTCACAGTGAGAATACTGAGAGGAACAGACAGGATTTGCTCAGAAACTTGTCTTTCCTCTTGTACCTCTGATTCAGCTTCAAAGGACTGGATCTTCCTAGATCTTTCTTTTGTCCTCTATAAGCTCTATTCAGCCTGTTAAATGTCAGACTGAAATCAGAATATCTGTATATGGCTTATGAATCAGAACGTTTATGATCTACATCTTGAAACATTAGCTAACAATTATTCTATTTGGTGCATGGCTGTGAGCTAGACAGGAGGTCGAATTTAAAAGAAGAGTGTTTTTATTTGTATTTGAAAAAAATGCTACATGCCATAGCTTCTAAACCAGATCACCCTTTCTCTTCAGTATGGTGAAGTTGATGGAATGGATGTGATATAGGAGAAGCCTACAACCATCTACATTGTATCTATCTGTAGTAGCTCTGCGACCACTAATGTTGTAACTGTTTCTTCAACTCAGCTGGTCAGTAATTCATGTTATATGAGTCATGTTACAAAGCATTTTCCCATTAAAAATATAAAATAAAAAATTAATATAAATAAGATTGAGCACTCATATCACCCACCACACCCTATATTACCCACCACACACACACCCACATACACACACACACACATACACACACACACACACACACACACACATACACACACATACACACACTTCAGGTTTTGATGCAAGTCAGATAACACCACCAAAAAGAAATGCACTGTATGCTACACGCAGTGTCTGTAAAGCAGCGGCATCTATATTTCAAAATGGCCTTGGACTATCTTAACTCATGCACTCAAAACACACGTACTTAAGCAGGATTAATCCTGCCAGCTCCCAGGATAGGTGCTGATGGCCTAAACCAATTAGTACACCTTTTTCCTCACAAGCACTTGGCCAATTCCAGACAAAGAGGTTTTTGCTCAGGTTTTCAAAGGGTGAATGTTCCTTCCCAGGTGAACCTGAACCTGAAAGCATGTAGACTAGAACAGCTTCTGCCATGTTTCCATCACATGAACTGTGGGAAGAAAGCCAAGGCCCAGAAGAGAGCAGGACAAACAGATGAAAAGAAACCAGACCTTAATTGGCACACTGTCAATTTCTTACTCAGGAATAGGCACACATTTGAGGCAAAAACCTGAAAGTCTATCTCAATAACCACTAAAAGCTAGGAATGTGTTTGAAATGGTAGAACAGTTTTCTAACAAGTATGAGATCATGAATTCAAACCCAAGTGTTGCCAAGAAGAAGAACAGGGAGGAGGAAGAGAAGGAGGAGGAAGAGGAGGAAGAGGAAGAGGAGGAAGGAGAGGAGGAAGAGAAAGAGGGTAGAGGAGGAGAAGAAGGAAGAAGAGAAAAAGAAGGAAGAGGAGGAAAAGAAGGAATGAGGGGGAGGAGGTAAATAAACTTACATAAACATTTTAACTTTTATATGAATATAAAAATAATATTCTCCTTACTTTTGGTCTAGTCCAATGAACTTAATTTTTTTCTCCTTGAAGATGGCAAGTTTCAGCTGTGCATCAGTGGCTCACATCTGTAATCTTGTAGATTAAGAGACTTACTTTCCTCAGGAACCTATGATCTCCTATGACCCTATCTGCTCAGTAAGAAGTTGTCTCCTCACTCTGCTCCTGGGATGAGTCTTATCTGGGCTGAGCTAATATCCACATCCATGATGAGGTCAGGGATGATCAATCTCACTCAGGTCATGAGATTTTAAGGAATCCTCTAGAAGGACAGGAAAATAACTTTCTAACTTTTCCTGGAAAGTAGCTCTACCTTCCTGTGTTTAGTTCCATGCAACACTTGCCCTTTTGGAACTGCTGCAACCATTGCTATCACAAGAGAACTAGCTTTTTGATGCCAATATTGGTACAAAGGAGGAGAAGCCAAAAGAATCACAGAAAAGCTGAGTCCTGAGCACTCACAGCTCCTTGGATGAAACCATGCCTATAGCCAGTGCCGCCCTTTGTCTTGCTCAATTGCACAAGCTATTAATTGGCCTTTGCTTCTTAATCCCATTTGGGTGAGAGTTATTAAAATCTAAGGAGTTTCCATTGCATAGACTTTGACTACGAAATTATTGGGAATGCCTAGGTTTTTGCTCTTACGTTCCACAATGCACATTATTTTATCATCAGTAAGAACAATAAATAGTACTTTAAGTAGAATATTTAAATTCCTCACATTGAGTATATTTCTTGATCATTTATATCTGAGAACATCAAGCAATTGAAAAATCAGTCTCTTTTGCAGAACCTTAACATTTGAAATAATAATGATAGCATGCATTTGCATAA